TATGTCTAGTTCCTTCATCAAGGGACGTTTTCAGTCATTATTTCTTCAAGTAGGTTTTCAATTTCTTCCTCTCTCTCTCCTCTCCTTCTGGTACCCTTATGATGTAAGTGTTGATATGCTTGATGTTGTCCCAGAAGTCCCTTAAACTTTTCTCTTTTGAAAATTCATTTTTTCTTTTTGCTGTTCTGATTGGGTATTTTCTGCTACCTTGTCTTCCAGATCACTGGTTCAATCATTGCTTCAGCTAATGTGCTGTTGATTCCCTCTAATATATTCTTTATTTCAGTTATTTTATTCTTAATTTCTGACTTGTTCTTTTGTATGTTTTGTATGTTTAAAAAATGTTTTCTATCCCTTTGTTGAAGTTCTCAGTGAGTTCATTTATTCTTCCACTAAGTTCACTGAGCATCCTTATAACCAGTGTTTTGAACTCTATATTGGGTAGATTGTTTATCTCCATTTTGTAGTTCTTTTTCAGGAGTTTTGTCCTATTCTTTCAGTTAGGACCCCGACTTTTGTCACCTCATTTTGGCTGCCTCCCTGTGTTTGTTTCTATGTGTTAGGTAGATCTGCTACATCTCTCAGTCTCCCAGAGTGGTCTTATGAAAAAGGTGTCCTGTGTGATCCAGTAGTATAGTCTCCTTGAGCACCTGAGCAAGATGGTCGATGGGTGTCCCCTGTATGGGTTGTGTGTGCCCTCCTGTTGTAGTTAAGCCTCAATTGCTGTTGGCCATCATCAGCAGGTGGTGATGACCTTAAGGCTGACTGGTTGTGAGAGCTGGCTATAACTACGGTGGACAAACTGTTATACGGGGGCTGACTCCATAGAGCAGGAGTTGCTTTAGTGGGGCTCTGGTGCCAGCCGAGTTCACCTTTGGTATGTATTTTGTGGAGCTGGTTGGGTGGTGCTCTTTTGTGGTCTAAAGCTGGCCACCAGGTGTGTTGGGTCTCGAGCCTCTTGGGAGGGGCTCCAGTGCAGGTCAAGGTCAAGTGCCACTTGTGCCAGGCTTGAGAAATTTGGTTGGAGCTACAAAGTGATCTGCCTCTGTTCACTGCATATTCTGAGCTTGATGGTACTTGAGAGAGGGTATGCTGCAAACTGAGGTCAGCTGCCAATTATGCCAGGCTTGGGACTTTTTGGTGGACACCATAATGTGAGCTGAGGCCAGCTGCCACTTGTGCCAGGCTTGTGGCTGCTTAGTTGAAGCTACATTTCAGGTCAAGTCTGGCCACCATTTATGTTAGTCCTGGGGATGGGAGTTACAATGCATGTCGAGACCGGTAGGCACTTATAGCTGGGCTTGGGGTTGCTTAGCAAGAACTACAAGGCACGTCAATGATTGTTTGGGGTTTGTGCACCTTTGAGATTTTCCAAAAGACTGCAGCATGAGCCGAGGCAGGCTGCTTCTTTGGTGAAGTGGCTCGGATGGATGGGTGAGTTGGGCAGGACAAGATCTAAGGGAATCACCAGGGCAGGGCTAATGGTATTAGCCAGGTTCATGGAGAGTTCAGATTTGGTGCCTGCCTGCACCTTCCAGCTGGGTTGGAGAAGCTCTAAACAAAGGAGCAATAATGCCTACCAATGTTTACATCCCTGGAGTTGCCCCTACTTCTTCCCCTCCAACCGTCATCGTGAAGTTAGTCAATTTAGGTCCTCCCTGTTTGTCCCTGGTGCTTTTTAAGTTGCTGCCCCTGTGTTGGAGTTCTGAGAGTGAGTTTATGAGCACGTAAGTATGCATGTGGTCCCCTCAAGAAGAATGCCTGGGAATCCAGCAGCCCTCCATCTTGCTTTGATACAATTCTGGCTGGTTTTCACAGCCAGATATTGTGGGGACTCATCTTTCTGGCACTTACAAAAAGAAGTCTAGAGATATCCTTTTAAAAAAGAAATTTAAAAAGAGTTTATTCAGACAATGACTTGCAAACTTGGCAGTTCTTAGTATGAACTGAGAATACATTCCAAAATGACAGGGTTTATAAAGGCAGAAGTTGCAAGGAGTTATTGATCAAAGAGATGGGTTGCTAGGGGAAACAACACCATAAACTTACATCACTTGTTTTCTAATTGGTAAAGGCAACTGGATTTTCAATGGTTGGCTGACAGTGATCGAACAAGTGGGGTTGTGAGATGAGTACAATGGTTAATGTATGATTACTCATTTATCAAGTTGTAGCTCAGGCCTATAGAACAAAAAGGCTGTCTTTGATCACACAGTTATAGTACAACAATGCATGTAGTAAAATTTATCAAACTGTACAATCAGCATAGGGGGCTGCTGGCTTTGCAGGCAGCTCCATAACCCGAAAGGGCAAAGTTATGCTCTTCAGGCAGATTCAGAGCTCAAGCTATAAAAATCCAAATATTAGGCCACAAATTATGAAATTAAAGTTCTTATAAGTCCTCACACCAATGCTCCAGGTTGGAGAGCCTGGTTGAGGCTGGGATCCCTTGCTTTTCCGTGTTGACTCCACAGCCGAGCTATTCCTCTCGATTCTTAACTGCCACACCATGGAGGTGTGAGGGACTTGCCCATTCAGAGACTCTGTCCCTCCTTTCAGTCTCCATGTGGCTTCTTCTTTATATCCTTAGATATGAGAACTCTGTTCAGCTAGTCCTCTAGTGGTTCTCAATGATGGTTGTTCTATAATTTTGTTGTTTTTGATGTGGTTATGGGAAGAGGAGAGCACATAGTTTAACCACTCTGCCATCTTGACTGGAAATGTCAACAAATATTTATTGATTCTAATATTTCATTGAGTATAAGACATTTATTGATTCAATAACAAGTTTTCAGAAAAAAATTCCATTAAGTGTGTATGAAAATACTGGGGTTAAAATTTTTTTTTCTGTTTAGGCTTCGAAGCGCAGAATTGACAAAACTTATTTTTAACTTATGACATCATATATTTATCTTGACACAATGATCCACCATGTTGCTCTTTATCATCACAGTCTAAGTTTAAACTTAATCCATATTCACCAAACTGTAAATATGCATTTAAATTGCTGTTGGCTACTGGCAGTTGTTCACTACTTGCATTGGCAGGCTTGTCAAAGCCTCTACTTAAAATTTGGATTGTTTTAACAACTTTAAGATTGAGGGTATAATCTTGAGGACAGTTTTATCTTCGACTTATTTACTTTGTACTGGAAGTTAAGCAGCTTATTTTATAAGTCAGCTGAAAGCTATTGTCAAAAGAAACGTCTTTGGGGTCTACCATCATTTTCCTTCAGGACGGATGAATGACTCACATCAACATCTCTTAGATGTGACTTATTTTAGATACTCAGCAACTTCTACTGCCTTTGTCATGATAGGCCATCTTCCACACACTCAACAACTTCTTACTTCAGTGGTGAATCACAGTGTATTTTCATTTTTATTAACTATTTAGTAGATACAAAATATTTGTAAGTTATGTGTAAAATATAAATAACAATTTAATAACTGTGTATCCATCACACTTTTTGTTTGTTTACCAACAAAATTGCTTTAACTTGGAAAATGTCCAAGGAAATAAATTAATGAAATATCCTGGTCATTTAGCTAACCATTTCTACAAATTCCACATATCTAATGAGTATAGATGAAATTAAAGGAAACAAAAAAAAATGCACATATACAAAAGTAGGAAGAGAATTTAAAAACTTTTTTTATGCCTTTCAGAATTTCACAGTTAAAAGCCATCTGAACAGTATAAAACTCAATTGAACACTACAGTGTTCTTTCAAGGTCATGAAAATAATGAACTCCAAGTCTATTTTATAAATCTAAAATACAGTATCACTGGCTTTTGTCCTAGCATTTATCAAACTTGCATATGAACTTTTAGAAGTCGAATTGGGCCTAATTCCTGAGAATTACTTTCTCTGAATGGAAGGGCCTGAGAACAACATGATATCCTGACTGACCGAAGTGATTGTCAGGGGACTCCCATGGGGCTCAAGCCCACTGCTCTCTGTCTCCAGACTACAGTGAACAGAACTCCAGTTTTTCCAAGGTCCACAGCCAAGCTCTGAACCCCAGTGGCACTCAGGGATCTCTGGAAAAGCTTCAAGCTCCATTTGTTTCATATGGTGCAAGCCAGTTACAGACCTGGACATTAGTGTCCAGTACAGCATGGAGGAGCCCCACTATCCTTTTTAAGATAAATAACATTTCTGTGACATTTAAAGTACCTGTGTACTCCTGCCCTGTTCCATCCTCAACATGTGCATCTTTTTCTCATGCTTTTTGTTAATGTCCTATTAGTTATGCATGCATCTCTAAAAAATATGTTGATTAGATTAGCATGCTTGGAATTTTATATAATGGGATTAGGCTGAAATGCATCATTTTGTGATTTGCTTCTCTGGCACATTATGTCCTGAGGTTGAGTCCCATTGTTGTATCAGCTGTTTTCAATGATTTTCACTGTTTTTTTGCATTTGATTATATATGAATATACCAAAGTCTATTTTTATATTTGACTATATGGGCATTCCCCCATTATTAGTGATTATAAATAGTGTACTATAAATATTATTAGATCTACTTGTACAGATGTGTAAGTTTCTCCATGTAATATAGTCTCCAGAAAGGATTTATATCTTCAAGTTTACTGGATAATGCCAAATTATTTTACAAAACGATTGTACCAAATTATACTTTCATCAGCAGTGATTAATACACTAGCACAGAAACACACAGACAGGCATGCACACCCCCTGCACTCCTATCCATCACGCAACACACTAAACACGTGTGTAGATCCACACACAGATCCACATCCATGTACCACGCACGCACACTCACCACAGTCCCACTCTCATAATGCCACAGACACACACAGATACACAAACTTACGTCACACACTCCACGCCTGTGTGCGAATAGTTTACGTACTCATACATAAACTGCCCATAGGACCCAATCAGGAAGCAGGGGCTCCGCCGCCCGCAACTGAAGAATCTTGTCCCGGCCGCGCCGCCGTCGGACGCCAGGTGTCGGAGGTCACGGCATCGTTGGCGGTGGCGTTCTTTTCTACCCGGAAACCACGGCTGCAGGACCCCGACTAGTCTGTGTCGGGGCGGTGTGAGCTGCACTGGCCTCTGGTCCAAGCGTCGGTCCCGCGAAGCCGGACACTGCTCCCGGCGCGGCGGGGAGGATGTTGCCAAGCGGCCCCGAGCCCGCCGCTCGCCGCCGCAAGTGAGCTCGGAGCTGCCCTGGGAGTCTGCGGAGCAGCTGGCGGGGCTGGGCCCCGGGCGCGCCGCTGCCCGCCGGGGCGGGGTGAGTCGGGGCAGGCGGGCCGGGCTCTTGGCTCAGCCGGGGCTGACCGCGGGGCCAGGAGGGGGCCGCTCTGGTTGGGGTTGGCCCTTCTTGCCGGGTTTTTTCATCGTCTTGTGGTGCCGCAGCCCCCGCCCCAGCTTCCGATGAGGGTCGCTCCGTATTTGACTTGGCTGTGGTGGCCTCGGCCTGGTCACCCGCCACCGGGATTTGTCCACCCGCATCCCGGGAGCAAGAGTTTCTGCTCGCCCTCGAGATGGCTGGATTTCACACGTATGGAGCTGAGTGCATTATTTGGATTTGGCCCGAGAACATTTTGGTAGTTTGCCATTTTTGATTTTGGGTAGTGTTTGCGTTACTTCTACGTTTGCAAATTATATACACCTCAGGAAGAAGATGTAGTTCCTTGAAATAGTGTTATTTTATGTGTCAAGCTTGGTAAAAAACCAGAGATGGGGTGGATTATTACCTTCACTCATATTTTCATAAAATAAATTGAGTGACTTTAAGGTAATCTAGAAGCGTTTAGTTCTAGTTCCCTGGATAGGTACCATCAGGAATAAAACAAGGCCTGTTATGCTGTTTTGATTTGTGTGAATACCGTCACTGGTGGACAGCTGGTGAGGGGGCCTTTGCTGAAGAATCCCATGTCTGTAGTTCTCAACTAACATCACAGCCCTGAGTGATGAATGATGAGCTTCTTTGCAGCCTGCTTTGGCAAG